TGAATATCACCGAATATCTTCGCCATAAACATTCAACTTAGATGTTTATGACGTCGATATTCGACGTCATAAACACCATCAAGTTTCGTGTTTATGACGTCGATATTCGACGTCATAAACACCATCAAGTTTGGTGTTTATGACGTCGACATTCGACGTCATAAACACCATCAAGTTTCGTGTTTATGACGTCGATATTCGACGTCATAAACACCATCATGTTTCGTGTTTATGACGTCGATATTCGACGTCATAAACACGATCAACTTTGGTGTTTATGACGTCGATATTCGACGTCATAAACACGGTCACCTTTGGTGTTTATGGCGTCGATATTCGACGTCATAAACACGATAAACTTTGGTGTTTATGACGTCGATATTCGACGTCATAAACACGATCAACTTTGGTGTTTATGACGTCGTATATTCGACGTCATAAACACGATCAACTTTGGTGTTTATGACGTCGATATTCGACGTCATAAACACGATCAACTTTGGTGTTTATGACGTCGATATTCGACGTCATAAACACGATCAACTTTGGTGTTTATGACGTCGATATTCGACGTCATAAACACGACTTATTAAGAAAGTAAGAAAATCGTATTTTCTTATTTTAAGAAAATGTTTTCTTATTAAGAAAATTTTTTCTTATTTTAAGAAAAAGATATCTTGGGATTCAAAAATTTCTTATTCCAAGAAAATTTTTTCTTACTAAGAAAATTATTTTCTTATTTTAAGATTTTTTTTCTTAAATTAAGAAATTTTTTTCTTAATAAGAAAATGATTTTTTGCTGTGTATCCAGTATTATCATGTGAGCAAAATAAAGCAATATGCCTGGCTAATTTACTCATTGAGATCAATATTGCAGCTCTAATAGATTTTACCGTACTTTTTATTAGAAAACCACCAGCCGACCCTTACAGAGCTGTTGCAAATGGCAGCACTAAGAAAAAGCCAAGCAAGAAGGAGAATTTTTGGATTAAACAAGATCAGATGGAACTGGAACCTTGCATGAAGAAAGACGAGCTTGTCGCATCCACGATACCAAGGTACTTTGCGAGGTGGCTTCATATACTCTGCATTGATTTGTAATATACAGACACAGAGAAGACTATCAACCACTACCTATAATTCCCCCCAAGCAAGACAACATAAATATCAAGAAATCACCATTCATGCCTCCGGATAATGACGAATTCCCACCCCCTCCCGAGGTAAGGTCCAATCACTGATCTCAAGATTAAAAACTGAATACTTTATCTGTCGCGCATAAACAAATTCAAATTTGATACGTTTTTCCAGCGACAAACAAACTTAAAAAGTATGTTTCACTTTCGGTAAAGTAATGCAAAAATGAAGAGATTTTTGATGGTATGTCAAAGAGAAAATGATGTCTGAAGTTCAGTCAAGCCGTGCTAATCTGTATATTTCGCCGTTTAAAACGATCTAAAACTCGAGAGACAACAGAAGAAATGCGAGAAGCCTTTTTTTTCAAGTTACGTTGAGATACTTGCTTGATAATATAACTAATTTAAACATGTAACCGTTTGACTCGTAAGGATTGCGACATATTTAAAAAATTTCAATAGTGGCCATTTTGAATTGTTTAATTTTCCCGGGCGATGACGACTAAGAGTAGTCATCGCCCGGGAAATTCATTAGTACTTCTAGCTTCTGTTGCGATTTCTAATGACCCGTTAAATATTCACCTTGTTGTAATTTGGATCACCTTTGCTTCTATTAAACAGCAGTCTTTTCGAAACGATCCATCTAAATTGGTGGGCGATTTTTCAACGCTTTCCACTTGTATGTCGTATCCTCATGTCTTATTTTTAACAGCACGCCCACGACATGGAAGAAACAAATCTTCAAAACCTAATGAAAGATCTGGATGCCATTATGGCCAAGGAGGATAGAGTTTAAAATAACAAATCGAACCGATTTATAACTCGTGCATTTTGGAAGCTTTGGGTTGTTTTACCTCGCCCCCAGAACGACGTTTCGACCGTTTAACAGGGTACTCTTCATAAAATATTCCTTCAGCAAGGGACTTCAGGGAAATAGAGAAAGTTATAAGGCCATAAAAAAAAGAATTCTGTTTTTGTTCTACATGCCTAATAGATGAGTATAGACTATAAATTTTGATCTTGGCAAGAAGAACAAAATCCATCACCACAGCTAGAAAGAACATGTTAAAATTAGTAAAATTGCAAAGTCTGGTTGCGAAATGTTGTAAAATGCGGAAAATATAGCCCTACGAAATTTGCAAATTGTGCATTAAATTGTGCACGGGAATTTGCATTACTTTCGGTGCATTTTCCCGCGCGTAATACAAATTATACAAAATAATTTTCATATTTCGCAGGACTGTATTTTCCGCATTTTACAACATTTCGCGGCCAAACTATGCAATTTTATTAATTTGAACATGCTCTTTCTAGCTGTGGTGATGGATTTTGTTCTTCTTGCCTAGATCAAAATTTAGTCTCGCTGGAATCATATATTAAACTGACACGCGCCGGCTTGTTTTTCTTTTTTCTCCAAAATTGGCAAGTACATTTCTAATTTTTATAAGTGCACACATTCATTCTTAATGCTTTATAATGTTTAACGTTAAAATCTCACCAAGTTTACATATAGGATAAACTACTAAGAATAATATTAAATGTTCAGGTGTATAAAACAATAGAAATACACCCTTTTCATAAATGGCTGCCGATTAAAAATTTTTTATTGCATATAAATTGGCCCAACTAGGCTCGTACTCATGTCAAGATTTCAAAGGAATTTCTACCCAGAAGTGAGAGGCTAGTTGGGCCAATTTATATGCACGTAAAAGAATTTTTAATAGGCAGCCATTTATGAAAAGGGTGTATATAGCATATAGCAAAATATATTTTTCTACGACAATGCAAGTAACTTAGTAATTCACGTTATTAACTTGTATATATTGAAATTCAATATAAAACGTATATAATAGTATACAATTCATGGGCTTTCTTTGTAACGTCTTCGTAAACATGCTTTCACAAACGTCAAAATTCCCCGACAATCGACGAAAAGCCAATCCTATAGGCTATATACCCACTTACCATTTTGTTCATTTCTTTAAAAATCTCCAAAATTATCCACAAGATGTTTTTCAGTAAAAAGTTTTTCAGATGTTTTTCACTCTATAAAAAAATAAAGGCTATAGCCTTTACTTTTCGTCCATTTTTACCGACTTATCTCATTTTTCATAAATGGGCAAAAAACAGCAAAAAAGTAAGGCTATAGCCTTTACTTTTCGTCCATTTTTACCGACTTATCTCATTTTTCATAAATGGGAAAAAAAACAGCAAAAAAGTAAGGCTATAGCCTTTACTTTTCGTTCATTTTTACCGACTTATCTCATTTTTCATAAATGGGCAAAAAACAGCAAAAAAGTAAGGCTATAGCCTTTACTTTTCGTCCATTTTTACCGACTTATCTCATTTTTCGTAAACGGGAAAAAAACAGCAAAAAAGTAAGGCTATAGCCTTTACTTTTCGTTCATTTTTACCGACTTATCTCATTTTTCATAAATGGGCAAAAAACAGCAAAAAAGTAAGGCTATAGCCTTTACTTTTCGTCCATTTTTACCGACTTATCTCATTTTACATAAATGGGAAAAAAACAGCAAAAAAGTAAGGCTATAGCCTTTACTTTTCGTCCATTTTTACCGACTTATCTCATTTTACATAAATGGGAAAAAAACAGCAAAAAAGTAAGGCTATTGCCTTTACTTTTCGTCCATTTTTACCGACTTATCTCATTTTTCATAAATGGGCAAAAAACAGCAAAAAAGTAAGGCTATAGCCTTTACTTTTCGTCCATTTTTACCGACTTATCTCATTTTTCATAAATGGGCAAAAAACAGCAAAAAAGTAAGGCTATAGCCTTTACTTTTCGTCCATTTTTACCAACTTATCTCATTTTTCATAAATGGGGAAAAAAACAGCAAAAAAGTAAGGCTCTAGCCTTTACTTTTCGTCCATTTTTACCAACTTATCTCATTTTTCATAAAATGGGAAAAAAACAGCAAAAAGGTAAGGCTATAGCCTTTACTTTTCGTCCATTTTTACCGACTTATCTCATTTTTCATAAATGGGAAAAAAACAGCAAAAAAGTAAGGCTATAGCCTTTACTTTTCGTTCATTTTGACCGACTTATCTCATTTTTCATAAATGGGCAAAAAACAGGAAAAGAGTAAGGCTATAGCCTTTACTTTTCGTCCATTTTTACCGACTTATCTCATTTTTCATAAATGGGAAAAAAACAGCAAAAAAGTAAGGCTATAGCCTTTACTTTTCGTCCATTTTTACCGACTTATCTCATTTTTCGTAAACGGGAAAAAAAAACAGCAAAAAAGTAAGGCTATAGCCTTTACTTTTCGTTCATTTTTACCGACTTATCTCATTTTTCGTAAACGGGAAAAAAACCAGCAAAAAAGTAAGGCTATAGCCTTTACTTTTCGTCCATTTTTACCGACTTATCTCATTTTTCATAAATGGGCAAAAAACAGCAAAAAAGTAAGGCTATAGCCTTTACTTTTCGTCCATTTTTACCGACTTATCTCATTTTTCATAAATGGGCAAAAAACAGCAAAAAAGTAAGGCTATAGCCTTTACTTTTCGTTCATTTTTACTGACTTATCTCATTTTTCATAAATGGGCAAAAAACAGCAAAAAATTAAGGTTATAGCCTTTACTTTTCGTCCATTTTTACCGACTTATCTCATTTTACATAAATCGGCAAAAAACAGCAAAAAGGTAAGGCTATAGTTTTTACTTTTCGTCCATTTTTACCGACTTATCTCATTTTACATAAATGGGAAAAAAACAGCAAAAAAGTAAGGCTATAGCCTTTACTTTTCGTTCATTTTTACTGACTTATCTCATTTTTCATAAATGGGCAAAAAACAGCAAAAAATTAAGGTTATAGCCTTTACTTTTCGTCCATTTTTACCGACTTATCTCATTTTACATAAATGGGCAAAAAACAGCAAAAAGGTAAGGCTATAGCCTTTACTTTTCGTCCATTTTTACCGACTTATCTCATTTTACATAAATGGGAAAAAAACAGCAAAAAAGTAAGGCTATAGCCTTTACTTTTCGTCCATTTTTACCGACTTATCTCATTTTTCATAAATGGGAAAAAAACAGCAAAAAAGTAAGGCTATAGCCTTTACTTTTCGTCCATTTTTACCGACTTATCTCATTTTTCATAAATGGGAAAAAACAGCAAAAAAGTAAGGCTATAGCCTTTACTTTTCGTCCATTTTTACCGACTTATCTCATTTTACATAAATGGGAAAAAAACAGCAAAAAAGTAAGGCTATAGCCTTTACTTTTCGTCCAGTTTTACCGGCTTATCTCATTTTTCATAAATGGGGAAAAAAACAGCAAAAAGTAAGGTATAGCATTTTACCCTTATCTCATTTTCATAACCACTTTTACCGACTTATCTCATTTTACATAAATGGGCAAAAAACAGCAAAAAAGTAAGGCTATAGCCTTTACTTTTCGTCCATTTTTACCGACTTATCTCATTTTTCATAAATGGGCAAAAAACAGCAAAAAAGTAAGGCTATAGCCTTTACTTTTCGTTCATTTTTACCAACTTATCTCATTTTTCATAAATGGGGAAAAAACAGCAAAAAAGTAAGGCTATAGCCTTTACTTTTCGTCCATTTTTACCGACTTTCTCATTTTTCGTAAACGGGAAAAAAACAGCAAAAAAGTAAGGCTATAGCCTTTACTTTTCGTTCATTTTTACCAACTTATCTCATTTTTCATCAATGGGGAAAAAACAGCAAAAAAGTAAGGCTATAGCCTTTACTTTTCGTTCATTTTTATCAACTTATCTCATTTTTCATTAATTGGAAAAAAACAGCAAAAAAGTAAGGCTATAGCCTTTACTTTTCCTCCATTTTTACCGATTTATCTCATTTTTCATAAATGGGAAAAAAACAGCAAAAAAGTAAGGCTATAGCCTTTACTTTTCGTTCATTTTTACCAACTTATCTCATTTTTCATTAATTGGAAAAAAACAGCAAAAAAGTAAGGCTATAGCCTTTACTTTTCCTCCATTTTTACCGATTTATCTCATTTTTCATCAATGGGGAAAAAACAGCAAAAAAGTAAGGCTATAGCCTTTACTTTTCGTCCATTTTTCCGCTTTCTCATTTTTCTAAAGGGAAAAAAAGCTCCATTTTTACCGCTTATCTCATTTTTCATAAATGGGAAAAAACATTTACTTTTCGTCCATTTTTACCGACTTATCTCATTTTACATAAATGGGCAAAAAACAGCAAAAAGTAAGGCTATTATAGCCTTTACTTTTCGTCCATTTTACCGGCTTATCTCATTTTTCATAAATGGGGAAAAAAACAGCGAAAAAGTAAGGTATAGCCTTTACTTTTCGTCTATTTTGACCGACTTATCTCATTTTTCATAAATGGGCAAAAAACAGCAAAAAGTAGGCTATAGCCTTTACTTTTCGTCCATTTTGACCGACTTATCTCATTTTTCATAAATGGGCAAAAAACAGCAAAAAAGTAAGGCTATAGCCTTTACTTTTCGTCCATTTTTACCGACTTAGGACCTCATTATTTATGGTGGGGGGTGGCACCGCTTTACTTTTCGTCCATTTTTACCGACTTATCTCATTTTTCGTAAACGGGAAAAAAAAACAGCAAAAAAGTAAGGCTATGGCCTTTACTTTTCGTTCATTTTTACCAACGTATCTCATTTTTCATAAATGGGAAAAAAAAACAGGAAAAAAGTAAGCCTTTACTTTTCGTCCATTTTTACCGACTTGTCTCATTTTTCATAAATGGGAAAAAAACAGCAAAAAGGTAAGGCTATGCATAGCCTTTACTTTTCGTTCATTTTTACCAACGT